CCTTATGGGTGTCCCTCTGGGCCTTGGGGCCGCCTGGCTCCTAGCCTGGCCAGGCCTGGCTCTACCTCTGGCAGCTCTGGCAGCTGGGGGCAATTGGGTGCGGCAACAGGGCCCCCGGATGCGCCGGGGCATCTCTCGACTCTGGCTGCGGGCTCTGCTGCGCCTGTCGCCCATGGCCTTTTGTGCCCTACAGGGCTGTGGAGCTGTGGGGGACCGAGGCCTGTTTGCACTCTACCCCAAGACCAACAAGGATGGCTTCCGCAGCTGTCTGCCCGTTCCTGGGCCCCGGCGGGGTAATCCCCGCGCTGCCCGTCACCCGCTAGCCCTGTTGGCGAGGTTTTGGACCCTGTGCAAGGGCTGGAACTGGCGCCTGGCACGGGCCAGCCAGGGTTTAGCTTCCCACTTGCCCCCCTGGGCTATCCACACACTGGCCAGCTGGGGCCTGCTCCGGGGTGAAAGGCCCAGCCGTATCCCCCGGCTGCTGCCCCGTAGCCAGCGCCGGCTAGGGCCTTCTGCCTCTCGCCAACCAGTGCCCGGGACTCTAAGTGGGCGGCGATCCCGACCCCGCCAGTCCCGGGCCCTGCCTCCCTGGAGGTAACCAACTAGCTAGCTCTTCCCCCGCCCCATCTAGAGCATCGAGCACTTTATTTCCCACTACTCAGTGAGGTTTCTCCAGTTCCAGTCCTCTCCTCCCTTTCACCCCTCCCTCCTTAGCACACTTCCCCACCTCAGCCCAGTCCTCTGGACCTCTAGACAGGCAGCCTCCTCCACCAGGAGTCCAGAAGTTACACTTTGTGTTCTCCTGACACTCCTCCCCCACCCTAAGTTATTGCTGTTCTCCCGCTGTGTGTGTGCTCATCCTCACCCTCATCAACTCAGGCCTGGGGCCAGGGGTGGTGGTGGGTGGGAAGTCATGTTTTTTTTTTCTCTCTTTGATTTTGTTTTTCTGTCTCCCTTCCAACCTGTCCCCTTCCCCCCACCAAAAAAAGAAAAAGACAAACACAAATAAAATATCTGAGCGGAACTGTACCTTTGGCCCAGGCTGCCTCTGTCTGCTTTGTCCTGCCGCCTAGCCTCCCTGGTATGCCCCCAGTCTGGACCCTTGGCCCCCAGTTCCATGACCTCTTCACCCCCATCTACGTTATCTTAACCCCTTTCACTCCTCAGCCTCATCCTCTCTGCCTTCATAGCTTCGTTGCACCATGATCACCACCAGCTCAGAGGTCTGGGCCCCTGTTGAGCTTCCACAGAACTTAGCCCCACAGCTCCCCTGTTGGTGGGTTCTTTGCGGAGAGTGTCCTCAGGTTCTGGGTCCATTTGTCCTCAACTCCTGCCTTTTCTCCCAGCCCCTTCCCTATGTGGCTCCCTTCTGGGAGCTGAATTTTTCCCCTGGCACTAGGCTTTACCCTAGAGGGCTTGGGAAAGGGACTGCAAACTACAGTAGGGGGTGGTGAGTTTGGGGGGCCAGGCAGCGAGTGGGGGGGCCATGGAAATGGGATTGGTTGTGGGCTTGGAGTGGGGGCTGAGTGCATAAGGGGCTGGACTGGGACGTGGAGATCTGGTCAGGGTAGCAGCTGCTGGCCCATTGAACTTGTCAGGCCCTTTCTGGCCACCTCTTTTGCCCCTTTCCCTTATGTGGCCCTAGATGGGGCCACCCCTTCTTACCCATTTCTCAGCTTGGAGCTTATCCTCCTCCCCTCCCTCCCACCCTAAGGTGCTGAACCTGGGACTTTCTCTGTCTTTCCTTAGTTGTGTTGCTCCCTTCCATGGGTGTGTTATGTGACTGGTTTTCTCACTCTTGTACACATTCTGTATCTGCTCACTTGGCTTCTGTCTCTGGGATGTATTTTCTCTGTCTTTGCATGGTCAGAGCTTCTTGTGTGTACTCTGAACCCTAAAGATTCTCAGTTCCCCCCGTCCACGAATTCGCCTGCTGTTTGTGAGTTTTCTACCCAACTCTCAATATGCTCTTGGAACCTGTCTTGTTTACTTTGTATCTCTTGCCCATTGAGAATCTTCCTGATCTCTCTCAGCACAACCCCATCTCTCCATGTCTGTCTGTATACAGCTCCCCCCGCCCCCTCTGTCTAACATGTTTTCTGTTTCTCTCCCTCTCCCTGTCTCTGCTTCTGTCTCCTCTCCTCCTCTCTCTCTTCTCCCCCTCTCCCCTGGTTGTTCTCCTCCTCTCCCTCGCCCCCGTCTCCCCTTGGTCCGTCCACTGCATAGTCTAAGGAGCTGCAGATCAAGAAGCAGTTCCAGGAGACGTGTAAGATCCAGACTCGGCAGTACAAGGCCCTGCGGGCACACTTGCTGGAGACCACGCCCAAGGCTCAGCACAAGAGCCTCCTTAAGCGGCTCAAGGAAGAACAGACCCGCAAGCTGGCGATCTTGGCCGAGCAGTATGACCAGTCCATCTCAGAGATGCTCAGCTCGCAGGCGGTGAGGCCTGGGGTCCAGGGAGGGAGCGTGGCGGAGGTTGGCCTTTGTACTCCTGCCTTGGTTATGGGGAGTGGGGGAGTGTGGGCAAAGACGGGGCTTTTGTTCTTAGGGGAAACTTGGATACTCTCCCACTGTCAGTATTCTCCACAATGGTTTTATTATCTCTCTTGAGTATTTCCTTAAGGTCTTGACAAAGCCAGCCTGACTACTCTACCAAGAACCACCAAGGAAAGAGTGGCTATAGTTTTTTTTCCTAGGCCTTAGTTTAATGTGTGAACAGGGAGCCAATCAAAATGATTTTGGCCCTTGGGCCGATTTACCCAGCCTTCTGGAGGATTTTGAAGATTGCTGTTCTAAAAGTGATCACACAGCAACACTGGAATGGGCCAGTTAAAAAATGCACGTAGCGTAAAAAGTAAAAATGCCCTTATTCATTGCCATTCTCTCACCCAATCCATTCTCTCCCCCAATTTCAGAGTTAACTCTTAATAATTGTATTTTAGGTTTTTTCCCTATGCATATTTGAAAGATTACACAAAATTTTAAACAAAAGTAGGATTGTGTTGTACATACTGCTCTCTCCTTTTTCCACCTAGTATTTCTTGGACATCTTTCCATGTCAGTACACCTATCTCATTTTTGAAACAGTGTAGAATTTTCCATGGTATGGACGTACCATAATTTATTTAACCCATCCCTTATTGGTGGACATTTAGGTTGTTTCCAGTATTTTGCTATCACAACGCTTCAGTGAACACCTTCGAGCACATGTGCAAGTATACCTGGGGGATAAATTCCTGGAAGTGTAATTGCTGTGTCACAGGGTATGGCGACCTTTCATTTTGATAGATGTTGAGGCTGGCTGCTTCTTGAAACCTTAAGGCCCAGGCCTACCTGGGGCAGGGGAGGATTGCGGGGGTGGGAGAAGAGGCCCCTAAAATTAGTTCTCCCTGTTTGCCAGCTACGGCTCGATGAGACCCAGGAGGCAGAGTTCCAGGCCCTTCGGCAGCAGCTGCAGCAGGAGCTGGAGCTCCTCAACGCCTACCAGAGCAAGATCAAGATCCGCACGGAGAGCCAGCATGAGCGGGAGCTGCGGGAGCTGGAGCAGAGGGTGGCTCTGAGGCGGGCACTGCTGGAGCAGCGGGTAAGGGGGCTCTGGCGCCAAGAGGCGCTGGGGAGGGCAGGCTTCCCACCTCCCGCCCCCAGACGCGCTAACCTCTCTTCTGGGTGTCCCAGGTGGAAGAGGAGCTGCTGGCCTTGCAGACAGGGCGCTCCGAGCGAATCCGGAGTTTGCTCGAGCGGCAGGCCCGTGAGATCGAGGCTTTCGATGCTGAGAGCATGAGGCTGGGCTTCTCCAGTATGGCTCTGGGGGGCATCCCAGCCGAGGCTGCCGCACAGGGCTATCCTGCCCCACCTCCTGCCCCTGCCTGGCCCTCCCGCCCTGTTCCCCGATCAGGGGCACACTGGAGCCATGGCCCTCCTCCACCGGGCATGCCCCCCCCAGCCTGGCGTCAGCCCTCTCTGCTGGCGCCCCCAGGTCCCCCAAACTGGCTGGGCCCCCCCACACAGAGTGGGACACCCCGTGGTGGAGCCCTGCTGCTGCTAAGAAACAGCCCTCAGCCCCTGCGGCGGGCAGCCTCGGGGGGCAGTGGCAGTGACAACGTGGGCCCACCTGCCGCTGCGGTGCCTGGGCCTCTGAGCCGGAGCACCAGTGTCGCCTCCCACATCCTCAATGGTTCCTCCCACTTCTATTCCTGAAGTGCAGGGTGGACGAGCAGATGAATGGGGCAGGGGCAGGGGCAGGGGTGGGTGGAGCCTGATCCTGGAGGGCTGTAAGCTAGAGGCCCACCCACAGGTGGGGGACAGGATGTTGGCTCCAGCTCCCCTTGGACCTCCTCATCTCATGAGCTTCTTGGGCTGGCCGGTGGCCCAGGGCCAGCTTGGGCATAGGTGCCTCAAGGCTGACCAGGAGCCCTTGCCTCCCCACCATGGTGCCAGGGTCTCTCTCCATCACAGCCTTGGGAAAGGAGGGAGATGTGCGTGTCAAATATTCATCTGGTCCCCTGGGGGAGGGGAAGGGTGGGTCTAGATATATTATATTCAGAGAACTATACTACCCCCTGTAGTGGGGCCATGGACTGGGGATGCCAGGCACCCCCAGACCTGGGGTGTGGCAGAGCGGTCTGGGGTGGGGAGAACAGAAGGAAAAGGCCTTCCTAGGAAAGAAGGATCAGGATGTTGTCTTGGGGTCAGGATGCCTGGTCTCTCCATTCCCCTGATGCTGTCTGACGTCCTGTGCCGTTTTGTCCTTTATCTTTTTTTTTTTTTTTTTTTTAATTGAGATCAGAGCTGGGCAGGGGAACAAGGGAAGGACCTTGGAAGGGACTGCTCCCAGGCTTGGGGGCGGTCATGGGAGCCCCTCCCAGCTATGGGGTTGGCACAGAGCCCCACAGCAAGCTTTTAATAAACTGTTGGTTATTCTAACAGACCCCAGGACTCAACCCTTTCTGTCTAAAGTGTGTATCAAGGACTGTTCTGTGGGAGGTGATAGATAATGTCACTTGTATTTAAAAGAATTTATTGGGAATTGTAACTAACAATTTCAGTGATTTTAAGGACTTCGGGCATGACTGGATCCGCAACTTTAAAGGAGGTCATCAATCTCCTGGCCCCTGCTTCCCTTTGCTTTGGCTTCAAAGATTTTCAAAAAGTTCGCTTCACACAGGCTTCTGGCAGCTCCAAGCCTATATCTTCATGGCAGTCTTAACAGCAAGAATGCCAGCAAAGTCCTAAAGTGACTTCATTGACTCAGTCTGTCAGAGGCTTGGGGTACTCCTGACCAGGTCTATGCCCTCTCCCCACCCCTTTAAAGCTAAAAGAATTGGCCCAGGGACTAAACGGCTGTTTCCAAGAGGGGAAAAGGAAGACGGAAATCCAGCTGTCCCCAAGTTCTATCATCGTGTTCTTCACATCCTTCTTAAGGCCAGTTTTTCAGACCTCCTTCCCAACTAGGCATTAGATTATGACAGCTGAAAGCATGATGATGATGATGATGATGATGATGAGGGCCCTGCTGGTCAGGCTGGAGGAAGAAGGGTAGGAGCCACCCTCTTCTCTGATAGAGCCTGGTGGCAGACTGGATGGCAGAGTCTGGAGGCTGGGACTTCCTTTGGAGAACCTGGGGGAAATGAAAGGGAATGGGGTGGTGTGGGAAGGCAATGGGCTACTCTTCACCTTCCTGGCCCAAAATATAGGGGGTAAGAGTGGGGACCAGATTTGTTTTGTTTTTTACTATTTTTTAAGTTACTTATTCATTTTGAGAGAGAATCTAAAGCAGGCTCTGTGCTGACAGCACAGAGCTCTACAGGGGGCTCCATCCCATGAATCAGGAGATCATGACCTGAGCCAAAACTGAGAGTTAGTCACTTAATCTTATTTAAGTAATCTCTACACTCCGAACTCAGTGACCCTGAGATTGAGTTTCTTGCTCTTCCAACTAAGCCAGCCAGGCACCCCCAAGTGGGGACCAGTTTTGACCAGGTGATTCAAACAACTCCTTTATTGAGTCTTAAAAAACAAACCCCTGTAAACACCTTTAACTGAGAACATGAAGTTGAGAAGTAGGATCCCAACAACTTGTGTCCCTGGGGGCGACACGTCCTCTTTGAAGAAAGCTGCTTCTGCTCTGCAGGCACAGATTGGAGTGGGGGGGTGCGGGTGCCATATCTGCTTTCTACAAGTGGAAAGCCTCCTGGGGAAGCTGAGGAGCTCAGCTACTCTCCCCGTCACTGCTGATGATGCCACGCATATGTGACCAATCTGGGGGTGGGGGACGGGGCTGTTCATCCTCTGAGCCCAAAGTCCGGCGGTACGGCTCCCCTGGGGGGTCTGCTCCTGAAGGGTTCCAAGCCGTGCGTCTGCGTGGCCGACCTAGATTGCAGGCAGGAAGAGCCGGAGATCAGTTGTCTGAGCAAATCCTAGCCCCATCTCTTGGCAGTGGGAGGAAACCCCTCACCTGAACCACTGATGATGTTGGTAATGTCCAAGGCGGCCACCTCAGCTGCCTCCTCCCGCTGCTCCTTCAGGGCCCGACACTTCTCTAAGGAAGGGTTACCTGGGGCAGAAGAGGCTCATGACCCTCTCTTCCGCAGCAGCCAAGGCGCTCTCCTGCAGCCCCCAGGGCACACCCGGCCTCACCCTTCATGCCCAGGGCCTCCAGCTCTGCCCGGAGGACACTGAGGCGCTCCTTGTGTGAGCGGCAGGAGCCCAGAAGCTTCTTGTAGTTGCGATGGGCACCACAGGCCCGAATGTAGCGCTTTAGCCTCATCACCGCTGGGTGGTCCTCACCACGGCGACCAGAGCCAGCCTGGCAAGGAAAAACAACAGCTGAAGGCCAGACCTTCAGCGTTTGAGACAAGGTCTCCCTCTTCCCTAAAGGTGGCCTCCCAGCCCATCTTCACCCTCACCTTCCTGCCTTTGGATTGCGGACTGCCATCTGTGGAAGAGGAGGAGGAGCTTCGTGTCCGGCCTTTCCGGGAGCTTTTCTTGGAAGAGCGGTTCCCCCTCTCCCCCTTAGGGCTATCCCCTGCCTCACTGTCACTCACTTCCCTCTCTGAGTCACTCGCCTCGCCACTGCCCACTTTGGCTGTCTTTGCAGCACCTTCAGTAGTTGGTTTCGCCTCTCTCCAGCTGCCCTCCCCGTCCTCGCTGCTTCCGCTAGGCCTTTTGCCACCTTTCCCCGGGGTCCTGGCCTGGCCCGCCCTCTGCACTAGGGGCTCTTCATCTTCCCCGCTGGTCTCCCCACTGCCTGCTGCCGCTTTTTCCTTTTCTTCCTCTTTGTCCCGCACGTCTCCCAGCAGCCTGGCTGCCCTGCTCTTCTGCTTACAGCTCCTCTCCTCCCAAGCCGACTTCTTCCCTCCACTGCTCCTGGCTCCAGGTCTCCAACCCTCCTCCTCCCCTCTGTTCTCCTTCTGCTTGGCTGTGGTATCCTCCTCTTCACTGTCCTTTTCACTTTCCTCGTGGCTTTTAGCACCTTTCTTTCCCTCTGCCTTCTTTCTTGTCCTCTGGGCGGGTTCCTCCTCGCTGTCCTCACTCCCGTCCCTGGCCTGCTTCCTCCTGGCTGACGTCTTGCCCGGTGCCTGCTTATTCTTCGCCACGGGTTTCTTCCTAATCCTGCCTTTGGGCTCCTCTTCCTCCTCGCCTTCCTCACTGCTCTCTTCCTCGCTTTTCTTTCCCTCTGCCTTCTTTCTTGTCCTCTGGGCGGGTTCCTCCTCGCTGTCCTCACTCCCGTCCCTGGCCTGCTTCCTCCTGGCTGACGTTTTGCCCTGTGCCTGCTTATTCTTTGTCACGGGTTTCTTCCTAATCCTGCCTTTGGGCTCCTCCTCGCTCTCTTTCTCCTCTTCCTCACTGCTCTCTTCCTTTGAGACCTTACTTGTTCTGGCGGAGACCTCTTCCTCCTCCCCACTGCTCTCCACCACCTCCTTCTCGAAACCCGTCTTTGCAGCCAGGTCCCTCTGCTGTTCTTCCTCATCACTGCTCTCCTCAACTGCTTTCTTTGAGGCTCGCTTTGGACTCTCCTCCTCTGCTGGACTGACTTGTGCCGCCATCCCATTCTTTGCTGAGAGGCCAAAACAGTCTGGACTGGAGGCTGCAGAGCTGGGCTCTGGAATATGGAGAGAAGAGAAGGTTGGGATGGGTTCCTCCTGTCCCTTCTCCCTCCACTTGGGATTGGTCACCTCTGACAGATGGAGGGAAGGGCAACAAAACACAACTATCAATCAGTCCACCCTGTTTCCGGTTCCTGACTCACTGGCCTTGTGCCCTCATCTAACGCCTTGGGATATAATACATGCACGATCAATACTTTTCGAATGCACTACGCAAAAGTCACTAACCTGACTCCGAATTGAAACGGAACCTTTTTCTCCCAGGGCCACTGCTGGGGGTGGGAGGCCTCTTCGCCTTGGCAAGATCTAGCCTCTCTTCCCTGGCACCTGCTTCATCCACCTGCACGAGAGGTGTGCGCAAGAGGTACCAAGGTTGTGCTCCCCACCCCGTCCCAGGCCCCTCCTCCTGAGCAACAAACCCGGCCTCCCGCGGCCCAGGCTCGCGCCCACACCTGCACTTTCAGCAGCTCTTTCTCCACTAGCCGCTTCAGTGCTTGCTTCTCGTCGGGTTCCAGGTGATCGCGGCCCGCGTGAGCCAAGAACCTCCGCCGCACTATGGAGTGCGTGAGCGTGCTGCGGAGACAAGTGTCAAGACGGAGTCCCCGTCCCGCCCCTGCCCTTTCCACCCCCAACTCCAGTCTCTAGTGCACCTGAGGTCTGGGCGGCCTCGGAAGAAGCTACGGATGAACTCCTGCATCTCGTTCTCCCGCGCCATTTTGCTCCACCTGGGATTGGTGGCTCCCGCCTTTTTTTCTTCTCGGCCGCCGTCACCGCGTTTGACAGGAGCTTGCGCACTCGCTGGGTCGTGGCGAGGTGAGGGGAGGGACGGTTTGGGGTCGGTCGCGGGTCGCCTGGACCGAGAACTTTAGCAGACAAAACTCGTTTTCCTCGGGTAGTTGGAGGCTCTCGCGGCTCCTCCTCTTAGAACCAATCGTTTTTTTAAAGTTCTCGTTAGAAACTGACTCGGCGCGGGCAACCCTTGGGTGTAACGTAATCTACCGGCGACATTGCCTCCGTCCGTGGTCACAGGCCCTAGCTAGGCCACTGTGATTTCGAAAGACAGATGAAAAAGGATACCCTCGCCTGAAGACTAGGAATCCCTGGAGGAAAGTCTCTTGCGGCTTCCGATCGCTAAGCACATCTAGAATCAGTAAACGTGCCTCCAGCGTCCGCCATCTTTATGACCTCATCGCGTCGCTGCGTCGCCATCTTCCGCGTAGCCCCTGGAAGCAACGTTCCTTTCCCGGTGTTCCCTAAGAGGGCAACCCCTGTGGTTAAGATCCCTGGGCGCGGGGTACGCCGGGAGTTGTAGTCCCAGCGGACACAGCCTTGCGGAGTCTCCGGAAGTGGAGACGTGAGAAGCCGGGCTGAGAGGCTCCGGGTAGCGGGACGCCCGAGTGCTGCTGGGGCACTGCTCCCGGGGCAGGTCATGAACGGGCCGGCGGACGGCGAAGTGGACTACAAGAAGAAGTACCGGAACCTGAAGCGGAAGCTCAAGTTCCTCATCTACGTGAGTGCCGGCGTGAGAGGTTGTGGGCGGTGAGGCCTGGCGCTGGTAGGACCTCAGTTTACCCGTGTGTAAAGAGGAATGGAGTGAGTTGTCCCAAGGTTCCGGGGTTCGTTACAGGTGGCCGTTGGCTCAGCCACCCCCCGCCCTTGCTTGTGATACAGGAACACGAGTGCTTCCAGGAGGAACTGAGGAAGGCGCAGAGGAAGTTGCTGAAGGTGTCCCGGGATAAGAGGTGGGACACGGTAGGGGTGGGGAGGGGAAATGCCTGCGGGGGGTTGTGGCTCCTGCGGATCTACTTTCGGACCCTGTCCTCGGAATTGGGTCACAAATGCAGGGCGCCCTCTTTGGGGCTGTTGCAAGGACCTAACGGGCCAGCCAGAAGGGACAGGGTCCGGGAGACTTACTGAGATGGCAGTAAACACTCTTGTTCTCCCCGCCTCTTCCCTTAGTTTCCTCCTAGACCGGCTTCTGCAGTACGAGAACGTGGATGAAGATTCTTCTGGTGAGCAAGGTCGTGAAAAATTGTTGGAGGCCATGGCTCCTGGCACTTCAGCAAGCCTCCTGGGCCCCTCCTTATAGGCTGCGGAGGCTGATAAAACTTCCCGTGGTTCTTAAATCTATTGCTTGCCTTCCATTTCTACCGTCCTTCACTCAAGCATTTATTGCTTTGCACAGGGGATGCAGTGGAATTTGCGTTCCGGTTGGGAGTGATAGGGAAGCAAAAGCAACTAGGATCTTAGATGTGAAAGGAGTAAAGTCAGGATTTTGTGGCAGTGATTGGAGCAGAGCAGTTGATAAGCTTGTTCTGTCAAGGTGCAAGTAATAAATCGTTCAGGTTTTGTTGCACCTACCGAGTTCTGATGGAGTTCAAAAGTAGCCATAGGTGATATGTAAATAAGTGAGCTTGGATGTGTTTCAATAAAACTGTATTTATGGACACTGAAATTTGAATTTCATGTAAGTTTCACTTGTCATAAATAGTCTTTTTTTTTTTATCCCCGCCCCCAACCATTTGAAAATGTAAAAGCCATTCTTTGCAGACGGTGCAAAAGCAGATGACAGGCAGCATCAACAGAGTGCCCGAGAAAAGCAAGCCTTTTTCAGGAAGTAACGTTTGAGCGGGGATCTAGGTAAGAAGCAGAAACCAATCTTGGGAAGATAGAAGTGAGAGATTTCCAGGCAGAAGGAATGACAAACGAAGATGCCCTGAGGTAAGAACGGACCAGGTTGTCTGAAGAGCAGAAGGGCTGAAGCCCGTAGTGTTTCCAGACTTTGCTTTGAGCAGTGGTCAGGCCATCAGACCGTCCCCACAGGCATACTTACTTATAAGACAGGTTAATGAAACCGTGTTAAGATCATCGTATACAATTTGTTCTGATGGTTTTTAGCCTTTTTTCCTTTTTTTTTTTTTTTTTTAACTTAATGCCGGTTGCAAACCAGTAAGTTGATTTTATGACCCCACTAATGGCTTGAGACTCACAGTCTGGAAAAGTACAAAGGTGGACATTTGTGGTCCTGTTCCAGGGTGAGGTCCTCGTAACTCATTTAAAATACAGTCATCTCTCCCCCGTGGTGCCTTTAAACACTGGTCTGGAGCAGGGTGAGCAAACAACATTCAACCAAGCCGTTTGCTTTTGTAAATAGCGTTTTATTGGAACACACGATGCCCATTTATTTATGTATGACAGGATGGCGGAGAAATAGGCAGGAGCCCGCTCATGCCTTGCCCGCTCGAGGCAAAACATTTGGCTTTTATTCTTGTCTCTCACTGTCTACCTGTTCCTTCCCTGAGGTCTTCCAGTTAATTTTCTGTTTGAGGGGGACTTCAGGACAGGAGCTGTGAGAAAAAACAGTGTGCTTATGGTCACCGTGGAGTAAATCTGAGGGGTGAGAGCCGCAGATGTCAGCCACCGCTCATATCCTGGAAAAGCCCACAGTCTGGTCAGGGAGACACCCACACACAACACATCTTAGCGCAGTGTGAGGAAAACCATGACAAGTGAGAGTAGAGAGTTCTGGGAGAGCCAGCAATTAACTGAGCCTGAAGGATTCTGGGAGACTTCTCAGAGGGGTAGCGTGTAAATGCTTCTTTTAAAGGGTCTCTCCGAGCAGGGAAATTAGGAACAGCATATGACCACAGCTTTCAGGGCTTTTTTGTTTTTTAAGTTTATTTAGTTGGAGAGGTGGGGAGAGGCGAGGAGAGAACCCCAAGCAGTTTCCACAGTTAGCACAGAGCCCAGTGTGGAGCTCGAACTCACAAACTGAGATCATGACCCGAGCTGAAGTTGGACACCTAACCAACTGAGCCACCCAAGCACCCCTTATCAGTTATTTGTTAAATGGACCATGGGCCTTCTAGGTAGAAGTACAGACCTGGGAGATGAATTTCTTTTTGAGGAAATAGATGGGCATTATGTGAATAGTACAGTTGGGTTGGGAGACCAGAAAAGTAGGTTGAGACCAGATTAAGAAGCACTCCAGATGCTTGCAGGTAGTAGGGGACGTCACCAGGAAGGCCTTGAGTGGCTTTACCTTTAGATTGTTCTGGAGTTGAAGTACACGGTGGAGGGAGAGGTGAGATTGCTTAGCAGGTGATTTTGATGTGGTGGCCTCACCTAATAAAGGCGAGTGGTGTAAAGTAGTCAAGGAGTCAGAGATGTGGGTTCAAGTCCCAGCTCCACACTTTACTCTCTGAGCCACAGTGGCCTCATCTGGAAAATGGACGTGATGCCCTCATCTTCCTCCTTGGACGGTTATGAAGACAGGGAGTGGCTGTGACCCAGGGCCCTCTTTTCAGAGCCTGGGACACAGTTAAGTGCTTGACAAATGTGTTATGATGGAGTCCAGGCAGGAAGTCCGTTGTCAAGGACATCTCAGGAAGCTGGAGAGGCTGTGAGCCTCCCAGAATAGCGTGTATGTGGCCAGCTGGGGAGTCCGATTCCCCGGCGCCTTCCATAGAGATGACATGGCACCTCTCTGAGGTAGACTGGAATGGCCCCGCCACTGACCAGCCCTCCCCCCTCACAGACTCAGATGCCACTGCATCTTCAGATAACAGCGAGACAGAGGGAACACCCAAGTTGTCGGACACGCCAGCCCCCAAGAGGTGAGAAGAAGCCGTCATTCTTCTCTGGGGGTGGAGGTGGAGGGGGAGCATCTCGGCCTCCAAGCTGCTTCTGACCATCCCCCTCCCCCATTCTTTTCTCCAGGAAGAGAAGCCCGCCGCTGGGGGGTGCCCCCTCCCCCTCCAACCTCTCTCTGCCTCCTTCAACAGGGTTTCCCCTTCAGGCCTCGGGAGCCCCCTCCCCATACCTGAGCTCGGTGAGTTAGGGTCAAGGGTGGGAAGTAGAAGTGAGATGCCCGGGAAGAAGGTGGGCATCATTTGGGCAGATGGGCCTCGTGAGGGGTGAGGCCGGCCCAGCCCAGGGGACCGGCAAGCATCCCTTGGAGGGGTGTGAGTCGGGGCTGCCCTCTTCTCTCTGCTGTAGGAATGGGGGACAGTCGTGACTGAGGAGAGCAGAGCTCAGGACAAAGTCCTGCTGCTGTCCCCTCCCTTTCTGTTCTCAGGAGCCACACTCATCACCATCTCTTGTTTTTCCATTCTTCCTCCTGTTTGCGTTTCTTCCCTTCACCCCCCACCCCATCCACTCCATTTCCCATCTCCATCCCCTTGACTCCTGCCTGCAGCTGGCATCCCCCCCCTACCCCCCATTCCCTTCCGACTACCTGGCCCTGCAGCTGCCCGAGCCCAGCCCCCTGAGGCCCAAGCGGGAGAAACGGCCCCGCCTGCCCCGGAAACTCAAGGTACCCTGATTGGGGGATGTTAGGGAGGGGCCAGGACGCCAGGAGGACAGCCAGCTGAGGGAGGCTCGAGGCAGGGGCTGGGGCCTGTCCAAGAACCTCCAGGGATTGATACAGGGCTGCTGGGGGCCCAGCCTAGGGGTAGGCGCCCAGGGCTGGGACAGAGAAGTGCTGGCCCACAGGCTTGGTGAGGAGAAAACTGAGGGGCGGGACCAGCCTTTTGGGACCCAGAGTGAAGACTCCCGGAGGCCAGTCTGGTTTCTCACGGCCGTCCTGTGATGCCAGGCGGTCCCAGTTGCGGACAGTCAAGTCAAAGCGGCACCAGTTTAAAACCACGTGACCTTGGGCAGGTCTCTTGGACCCTCTAGGTCTCCGGTTCTGTGTCTATAAATGAATGAGGGATGAACAAGGGTTTCTGGAGCACCAACCCCGTACCAGGCACTGTTCTAGGCGCTGCAGATGCAGGCGTGAACAATAGAGACTGAGCCTCCTGTCTTCACAAGCTCCCGTTCTAGCAAGAGAGTGGGGAATAGGCAAAATGAGTGGCTCCCAGTGCTCAGACATGGAGCTGGGTGAGGAGAATGGGACGCTCCATGGCAGATAGGAGCTGGCATTTATGGGCGTCTGGCTGGGACAGTCTTTGGTCAGAAGCTTAAAAGAAATGAGAATCAGCCATGAGGCTCTTGGAGAAAGTGTTCCAGGAAGAACAGGCAGTGCAAAGGCCCTGAGTACGGGGTGGGGGGGGGGGCCTTTTTGGGGGCCAGGAAGGAGGCCAGTGGGGTCAGAGACAAAAGGAGGGGTAGGTGGGCGAGTGAGCAGGTCAGAGAAACAACCGAGGGGCCAGATTGTGGAGAGCTTTCCCGGGCTCGTAAAGATTTTACTTGTACCACAAATGAAGTGGGGAGCCATTGCAGGAGGTCGGGCAGAGGGAAATCTCTTCTGATTTCCATAGATCGCTGCTGCAGGGAGAGTGGCCTGGGGGGGGAGGGGGTGGTGCTGGGTCAGGATGGAAGCGGGGAGACCCTCTGAGGAGGCTCCTGCAGTGAAGCAAGTCGAGATGCTGAAAAGTGGTTGATGGATCAATTTCAAAAACCGAGCCATGGGAAGACCAGCGCGGGCTGTGGGAGAGAGCAAAGGCAAGGGTGGCTCCAGGGCGTGGGGCCCAGGCCACCGAAGAAGTGGGCTAGCCTGTGTCTGGGACCAGAAGGTCTGGGAGGAGGAGCAGCTTTGGGCGGGAGGACGAGTTCGGTTGTGGATGCACTGAGATATTGGCTGGAAACACCAGCGAGACCAGAGGACATGAGCCTGGGGCTCGTGGGCGCGTGTCATCGGCGTGGAGGCGGGCGCGATTGGTGGGTGAGAACGTGGATGGAGAATGGAAGAGGCCTGTGCGCTGAGGCCCAGGAGAGATGGGGGCACAGAAGGCACAGCGTCCTCCCAGCCCTGAATCCAAGTGGAATTCGGACTGGGCAGGACAGCTTTCAAACTGGGTAGACTGTAGACACGAGGCCCTAGAGCTAGAAGCAAACCGAAAGGTCACCTTGTGGCGATTAGGAGTGTGGGTTCTGGAGTTCACACCCCAGCTCTGCCTCTTACTCCCTCTGCGACCTTGGCTCTTGAACCTGAAAAGTGGGTAGATGATGGGTGATGATGCTGGCCCTTCAATCTCCTTGGTGGGGATCTTGCTTCTGGCGTGTAGGGCAGGATGGTGGAGAAGGCAGGGGTCAGTGAAGCCTGGAGCAGATGGGTAGGGGTGTGGCATGGCGGTTTGAGGTTTTCTAAAGTGCTGGGTCCTGAAGAGCTGAGTTCTGACCATACCGGCATGAGAAGGTTGGTTGAGAGAGGGGCCGGGGATCAGTTGCTGTGGTGGAGGAGAGGGTAAGTCAGGGAAGGCCTCAAAGAAGAGGTAATATTTGAATCCAGGGAAAGTGAGATTTGGAAATCACAGGCTGAATGGGAGTGGAAGGAAGACAGGGACGTGATGGAAGTATTGTTTGGGCTGACATAGGAGTGAGGAGAATGAGAAACATCAGAAAGACAGGCTGTCAGGGTTCCTGGGCGGCTCAGTCGGTTAAGTGTCCGACTTCAGCTCAGGTCCTGATCTCATGACGGTTCATGGGTTCGAGCTCCGCGTCGGGCTCCGTGCTGACAGCTAGCTCAGAGCCTGGAGCCTGCTTCAGATTCTGTGTCTCCCTCTCTCTCTGACCCTCCCCTGCTCACACTGTCTCTCTCTCTCTCAGAAATAAATAAAACATTTAAAAAAAAGTTTTTAAAAAGAAAGACAGGGTGAGGTGGGGCCGCAGAGGGCCTGGGTGCCCAGAGCCAGGATGCCCTGTAAAGGGGTGGGGGTAACTGAAATTTCTGGTGACTTGGTCTGAGGAGACAAGGGACAGCCGCGAAGACGGGAGCAGGTCAGTTAAGAGCCTGAGTCTCGGTCAGACAGAGTAGGTTGGAGTCCCAGATCCTCCACACACTCTCCGTGTGACCTTGGGCGAGTCATTTGCCCCTCTGAACCTCAGCTTTCTTCTCTCTTCAGTGGGGTTAGCGTAGGACTAAATGAGTTAAAGGAGAGAAAACAGGGAGCCCAGTGCTTGGTCCCTAGTAAGCTGTGGGTAAACAAGAGTGCTCTTGGTCACACGGAGGCAGCCATTGAGAAAGGCCAAGCAGGTGTGGGCCGGGGGGTCCAGGAGGGATGAGGGTGGGGATCGAATGGTGGGAGCCAGAGGAGGGAGGCCTGGGCCTCCCGTCTGTCGCCGGTCCTGGCAGACTCCCATACCCAGAGTAAAAGCCCACTGCCACCCCCAGAACAGCAGCGGGGCCAGGGGCTCCCTGAGAGGCAGAGAGTAGACCATGAAGGTGAAGGTGTGAAAGCAGTCCCAGGGGCCACCTTAAAGACCCACATAAGCGCTTGCTCCCACCCCCACCTGGGGCCAGATGGGACACTGCCCACTGAGGTCCCAGGAGCCCTGTGCCTTAGAAGTCTCCCTTTGCAAGCCTTGGATTCCTCCTCTGGCCCATGACCTCCCCCCGCTTCCAGGGTGGTCGGAACGGTCAGAGACCCGTAATGGAGGTCACGTGGCACGGGGCAGGTGCTCAGTTTAAATGTGCCCACGGGCAAAGGGTGAGGCCCCCAGAGCTCTCTGCGGGGAGGACACCTGGCAGAGGTGAGGCTGGAGGGTCGGGCAGGACAGAGGCCACTTCTCAGCCTCAGGATAAAGCAGGACTTTCGGTAGAGAAGGGCACTCCGGGTGGAGGGACCGGCCTGTTCTCGGGCACGCCTTCCCACCTGTCCCACGGGCGGCGAGGAGCCTTTCCCTTGTGTGGAGGAATGACGTGCTCAGGTTTGTGTTTTAGAGAGCTCACTCTGGCTGCAGTGTGGAGGAGGAGCTGGCTCTGGGAGAGGCTGAAGGCAGGGAGTCCAGTTAGGAGGCTGGTACCGTAGCCCAGGTGAGCTGTGAGAGGAGGGCCTGGCCCAGGCCAGTGGCTGCGGGGATCCCAAGGAGGGGCCCATCCAAGATAGAAGAGGTAGAGACCTCCCACGGCGGGGGGGCGAAGACCTCGGACACCCTCCGCCTGACCAGTGAGTCCCGAAGTAGGAGGGAGGAGAGGAGGCCAGTGCTGGCACGTGGGGTCCGGGGTGCCCAGAGGCGGGCGGGCAGGCACCAGAGGCTGCCCCTGACCGGCTCTAAGGGCTGGCACGGGGGCAGCCAAGGTGCCTCCCTGGAGAGGGCAGGGCCAGGCCTTCCCCCCCTGGTTTCCTGTAAGACCCCTTACCACCACCCCCCCTCATCACCGCCTCCATCACCACCCCTCACCTCCAGGCACTTGCTGGTTTGAGACTCAAGGGGCTGAGGTAGGGCAGGCCCCCCCCATTCCAGCATGGGCCAGCCCGGCTGTGCCCATTACCCCTTGAATGAGCCTTTGCCCCCTTCCCCGTCCCCCAGAACTGCCTTAAGAGGCACCGCCAACCCCCTGCAGGTCCGGTGCCTCCCTGATAGCCCACCCTGTGTTTCTTCCCCCTGCTGCAGATGGCGGTGGGACCCCCCGACTGCCCTGTGGGAGGGCCGCTGACTTTCCCAGGCCGGGGTTCCGGGGCTGGGGTGGGGGCAGCCCTGGCCCCACTGCCCCCCCCCAAGATGCCTCCCCCCACGATCCTGAGCGCCGTCCCTCGGCAGATGTTCAGCGACGCGGGCAGCGGGGATGATGCCCTGGACGGGGATGATGACCTGGTGATCGACATCCCAGAGTGACACCCCCCGCCCCACCACGGCCAAGCCCCTGCCCCGCACCCGATGCCAGCACACACACGAGCCTCCAGCTTCCGCAGAGACGTTTATTGACGCCCAGTTGCCATGCTGCGGCCACTGACACAATCAGAAAAGGCGTAAACATGCACGAATGTCCCCTGGAAGGTGGGTCCCTGCTGGAGGTGCGGGGGGAGGTGGGGGGCAGAGGCCCTGCCCTCACATCCCAGCCCCAGCCAGGGGACAGTTATTTAAATGAGTGGCCAGGAGCATCTGCCACCTCTCGGAGAGGCGGAGACCTTGCGGTGGCCCCCCACTTAAAAGGGCAGCTGTACAGGGCTAGGTTGGTTGGTTTTTAACGAAGATTCTGTATTAAAAGAGTGGCTCTCTTTTGGTTTTTGTTGGCTTTTCTTTTTTCTTTTTTTTTTTTTTTTTGTCCTCTGTTTTGGAAACATTCTCCTCCTCCGAACCCCCCCCTAATCCGACCTCCTCCCTATGGGCCGAGGGGGACGGGGCAGCCTGGGGAGGCAGGAGAGAGGAGCGGCAGCCCCCTGCGGGCGTGCCCAGGATGGGTGTGTGCATATTTGCGCAGTAGCAAGTCAGGCAGGAGGAAGTTGCATATGTGAATACAGATCTCCACGGTCCCTCACAAGAAGACAGACCCACGGTCACGCAGACTCTCACAAAATAAGACAGGTAGTAGGGGGCGGGGCTTCCACCCCGTGTAAACGTGCAACACACTCGTGCGAAGGTTGGGTACTGGACCCGGCCCCGCGGGAAGCGGGGGGTGGGGTGGGGGGAGGGCGTGCTGGGCAGGTGGTGGTGTCCCGCTCAGGCCGAGGGCAGAGCCCCGGCCGCGGGGGGCAGCTCGCTGGTCAGGGTGTGCCAGCGTTCCAGGGCTGCGTCCGGCTGCTGCAGACAGTCACTCCAGTGCTTCCGGGCCTCGCCCCGGGCCCCGGGCCCCAGCGACACACCACCTGGGAGGCAGGGAGAGGCGGGCAAAATCAGGGCCCATCTCCCTGCCAGCCTGCCCCCCCGGCCCCATTGGCACCACCCAGCAGGCTCCCCACTCACCGATGAAGTCGTTGGATTTGCCGATGTCATAGTCCCAGACTGTGACTTCCAGCGTCTTGGTGGCCAGAGCGGAGAGCTCCATCTCATAGAAGAAGTCCTGGGGCAGAAGCAGGCCACATCTTCCATGAGGCCCTGCCCCTTTCCCGAGCCCCAGCGCCCCCTGATTTCTCTGAACCCTGCCCCACTTACTTCATTAAATTCCGGATTGAGAGTCTTCTTCTTCACACACGTTTTATGCTTGGATTTTTTATCCACGTCCGGCCTCAGGTACCTGCCAGGGAGGGGGTGGCGGAGGAGTGGGGCTATCAGGGACAGCTCAGACCCCAGAGGAGGCGGGGGCAGAGGTCAGGCTCCCTGGGGAGGGAAGGGTGAGCTCACGTCTTGACGTAGGGGTCGGAGTAGCCGTTGACGTCCATGGCGGCCAAGTGGGCACAGCGCACGATGCCCACCAGAAGCCCCCGGCGCCGCGAGCTGTAGCTGAGACTCAGCAGGATGCGCCCACGCTCCTCCAGCAGCCCAGGGCCCTGCTCTGCCTGCTCCAGCTGTGGGCCGGACGCAGGGGTCAGCCTGCAGCCTCGCCACCTTCCACCCACGCGCCATCCCCGCGAGGTGCCTCACCTCCTTCAGGTAACAGGAGATGCCCCTCAGCGCCGCTGACATGGAGGAGGGTGAAGCCAGCTGAGGGGGCAAACAGAAGGTTCTGGAAACTGGCCTCCCCAGGGCCCGCTCCCCCGCCCCCCCTCCCCCGGCACCCCACACAGCCCCACACAGACCGGGACCTGGCGCTCAAGGCAGATGTTAAAATGTTTCTTCTGTGAAGGCTTGAGGCGGCGGAGGGGTACTCTGATCTCCCCAATGAACTCATTGTGGCTCAGCTTGTCCTCGTCACACACGGAGATCCTGGCGGGGAACTGCAGGGTCAGGGCCCCCTGGCGTACCTGAGGCTGCTCCAGTGTGGGAGAAGGGTGCTCCGACCAAACTCTGAGCACCTGAAGCCAATGCTAGCTGTACCCTAAATACTCTGCACCTCGCCTGTCTCGCGGGCCATGTGGGGAGCACCAAACCCGGAGCTGAGAGGGGTGCTTTGATCTGCCCTGTTCCTCCACCCCTGCTTTCCAGCTGCCGAGGCCATCCCTGGTCCGTCAGGACCTGCGCCGCTACCGTAGGAAGCCCTCACTGCTGTAGGAGACCCACTGCCCTCCACTGCTTCCACTCGGAGCCTGGGGACAGAATCCAACCGGACGTGCCTAGGGCATGCACTGGTGGATGTGGGTCACAGAGTCAGCAGGTGAGGGCTAGAAGGGCCTTGAGCCTTGCGCAGCTGGACAAGGCTCCCGCACCTTCTCTGGCACTCCTGTCCTTTTCTGCATGGCGTAGGGAACCAGCCCGGGAGGGGCACATGAGCCCAGCGATGAAGGAACGATTGCTTTTAGTTCCATGCGTCCCCTTCTGCAGCCCCCTGCGCTTTCTTTTGTCTTGACACTCAAGAAGCTGTGTCATGTACCGATATTTATATCCCAGCTCTGCCACTTAACTAGCCATGTACGTGACCTTGGACAAGTCACTTAACCTCCCTATACCTCAATTCCCACCTATAAATAGAGACAATGAGTACCTACCTCCTACAACTAGTAGGATCAAGGGAAATATATAAAGATGCATAGCCCAGGGCTGGGCACTGGTGAGCACTTGGTTTATTGGGCCTATTTCTCTCCCATCTGCAAGATGGGCCAGTCTTTCCGGACTCGGCCTCTGTCCTCCCCTCCAGTCTGCCTCACAGCCAACATCAGGGTGATCTCCAAACACAACCCTGACCATGCCCCTGTCCGAGTGCAAACCTTCCCCCAGTTTCCCCATTGCCAAGAACACCGATAAAGGTCTCCCAAGCCTGGGTTTTGCTGCCCTTCACGGAGGTCAGGGACGACACTCCCCACAGCTCCACCTCCTAGGATGATGGAGCAAGTTTCCTGTCCTGATGGACGTTAGGGAGACACAGGCAACAGAAAGGCTATTACGTGGGTCTGACTGGTCAGGGGGACTGAGGAAGGGTCTGGGTGACCAGACAAAGCTTCCGGGAAGAGGCACAGCCTCAAATTTTGAGTGGGATTTAGGCTGGCCCACAGAGAGGAAGCAGGGAGCACTTTCCACGGAAGAGACAACAGGCGAAGGTCAGGAGCATAGAACCTGACCACTCCGAAGACGGCAGTCCTCTGTTGGAGTAGCAGTAGGAGACATCTAGGGAACAGGAAGGCCAGGGAACCATTCTGACCTGCTGCCGAAGGGGATGGGGAGCCAGTGATTGTTCTTGAGCATCTGAGAGGAGCTTTAATGGGAGGCAGATCAGCCAAAGAAGGTGCCGATGACAGCTGTCCCAGAGGAGAGCTGAGCCGGAATCCTTAGTAAAGGGAGAACGGAGTGCTCACCTGAGCACCTTGTGGGTGATGTCATCGTCCGTGATCCCACTGTACGTCAGGTCCTCATTCCACACAGGATTCAGCGTGTTCCTCTGAGTCTTAGTTTTTAGCTTGTTGGCCTGAGATGTGGGGACAAATGTTCTCAAGACATGTGCCCCAGACCCATGGAGGCTGAAGGTAGGGGACAGGCCGCGTCAGGCTAGGGGAGGGAGGAGGACATTACCTTGCAGGCTCCAGGCAGCAGGTGCAGCTTGACGTAGGGGTCGGCCAGGCCATTAAAATCCATGGGCTTGAGGCCCTGCAGGGGAGGGGAGGGGAGGGAAGAGGGCTGTAGGCTCCCAGCCCTTCCTCTCTCCCTCCCTCCCTCCCTCTGCAGAGTGGATCCCTGGGTTGTGGAGAGTCAAAAAGAAGGGTGCTGGGGGATAGGGGGAAGGGGAAGGGGTCTAGCCTAGGGAAGGGAGAGTGGAAAGTCCCCCCTCCCGGGGTGGGAGGCAAACAAGGCCAAGGGTTGGGAGGCGGGGAGTACCCACCTTGGCCCTGAGGATACTACAGTGCAGGGTGCAGGAGGCCTGGTCGTAGAGAAGGTCAAACTCCAGCATGCCCAGGGCGGCTGCAGAAGAGGAAAGAGTCGGTGTGTGAAGACAGGTGTGTGAGAGACCGGTGGGCAGACAGGCTGTTGTGCTGGCGGGGAGGGTGTGTGCCCGGCTGTGTCTGTCAGCCTGCAAGTGTGTGTGCGCGCGTCTGGGTCCCTGGCTGGGCCGCTACTGGGGCTGTGTGGGTGGTTGAGTGTCTCAGCAGAAATATTGAATATTGAGCCTTGCCGAAACTGTAGCCTCCACACTGACTGCAGCCGTGGTGGGCTGGCCTCCCCCAACACTCCCAGCAAGGGCCCCAGCCCTTTTCCACAGCCCTGAGGCCCCCCCACTAGCCCTGGGGCCCGTCAAGCCCCCAGACTCACTGGTATCATCCGAATCGTAGCTGTCCACCTCGGCTCCCTCCTCGGGTGTGGTGGCCCCAAGGAGGGCTGCAGGGGGGGCCAGGGCCAGGGGGGCCAGGCGAGCAGGGGCCTCCCTGAAATCCCTGCTCCCGCCTTCAGGTCCTGGTCCCCGGCGGGGGAAGTAGTCAGAGATCTGCCGGATGGGCCGGATGGGCCCGGGGCACACGTTGATGGCCATGTGCTCCTGGATGTTAATGGTCATGCGGTCGCCCCTGCGGCCCCTCATGCAGCACCGTTGGCTGCGGAAGGAGGTCCAGGAGAGCATGAGCCCAAGGCGGACTCCTCATACCTGCTGGCTGCTGGCTGAGGGCCAGGCGGCAACCTCCCCAGTTGGTGGGGCCGTCACCGGCCTCCCTTCCCAGATGTCCAGGGACAGGGCGGCCTGTGCCAGCTGATGGGCAGGCAGGAGGCCTGGGCCCTCTGGACCCCAAGCTTGCTCGACAGGGGCTGGCCTGCCAGCCCAGCCCCTACCCCCACCCCCACCCCCAGATAGGTCCTGGCGCCAACCTCAGCCATGCCCACATGCCTTTGGATTGTCCCTATGTCGTCTGCCCAGCTCCTGACCCTCATCCTGGTCTGCCGTCTGCCCCCACCCCCACCCCGGGACCCTGCCTGTCCCTGAAGCAGCCCCACAGGCCCCCTCCCCTGTCTCTCTTAAGCTCTGTCCAACCCTCTGTACCAGGCGCTTGTCTAGTCCGGGTGTCACCTTCCCCTCTAGGCTTTCATTGCCCACTGCCCCTTCATTCAGCCCCAGGACCTGCCTGCCTGCCTGCTTGGTCCCCCCACCCTGCCGCCCAACCCGGGCACCCCTGCCCCTGATGCATCCTCCTGAGACTGGCTCTCCAAGAACAGCCAGAAATTGCAGCCTCCGGGAAGCTAAACACCCCGTCGGCACACAAGCTAACACACACGTTCGCCGTCACCCTCACGCCCCCCGGCGGCCCAGCCCTCAGCACCTGTGTCTCTGCCTCCAACAGGTGCCCAAGCACTGGGGGGATGGCGGGTACCGGCTGGGCGGTGGCGGCCGGCGATTCCCGGGGCGGCCAGCGAGAAGAGCGCGGAGTCCGGTGGTGAGAGCCGAAAGGGAGGGAGGGAGAGCAGGAGAAAGTGCGAGGAGGAGGGGGTGAGCGAGGTGGAGGCGAGGAAGCAGCCGGCGCAGGCGGCGGGGGGCGGGGAGGGGCGGCCGGAGGCTGGGGAGGGGGCGGGACTCTCCCGCCAGCGTCCGCCGGGCACACTTAAGGGAGCACGCGAGTGCACACACACACACACACACACACACCCACGGGCACTCCCGCGCACACGCCTGCGCCCACGTGCGCACGCTCGCACACATGCACAAGCCCACCCCGGAGAACTTCGCATGCACACGCTCGGAGACACACGGGCTCCCTGCGCCACCGGGAACCGGCAGCGAGAATAGCCCGGTGTTCCCCAACTCCCCGGAGACCCGGGCCTCCGCCCCCGCCCCCGCGCCGAGCCCGCGGCCCTCCCTCCCCTGTGGTCTCCTCCTTTACAGGCCGGGTCTGCGGGGCCCGACCACCCGCCTGGTTGCCATGGCGACCCCGCTCCTCCTCCCCCGCCCCCCGAGCATCTTCACGCCCCTCCCCCTAGGAGAGAGAGCCGGGGAGGGAGTAGGTAATCAGGCCCTCCGCTCCCCAGACCCGTAGGGGCGGGGCTTAGAGTTCCGCAGTGACCCAGGGGTGCAGGGGAACGGAATCTCATCCGCCCGCGGTCGCTGGCCAGGCATCTTGGGGTCCCCCAGCCAGGCTGGTGAGCCTCACTGTCTTAGGATGGAAACAGGTCCGAGGCTGTGGCTTCCCTCACGCCTCTTCTGTGTGGCTGTTCAGGCGTCTCTCCTTTGGACCCAACCCAGGCTCCAAGGGCCCGGGTCCCCTTCTCAGGGATGGCATCTCCCTTGGGAATCCACCCTCCCTCACCCCACCCCCCTGCCGTCTCCCATACTGTCCATCAGGCGGGAAGGGGCGTCGGGCTTCCTTCTGAATTCCCGGAGCCTTGCAATGAATTGCTCCTCACCCTTCTGCCATTTCCCACCTGAACCCTGCCATCCGCCCGGTCAAACTCCAGCCTCGGATCTTTGCTCTTCTTTGCCCCTCCTCCCACCCACTCGCCCCAAGACAGAGTCCTCAGAGTCTTCACAGTGGCCTTCAAGGCCATTCAGCCCAAGACCCTGACTTCTCCCGTCTTGTCACCTCCATGACCTGTGGCTGGCTGGCAGGAATGTTACCTCTGGACCTTTGCTCACAGGACCTCCACTGCCTCGAAGACCTTCCCTTCCTTCGGGCATCATCCTGGGTCACCTCTTCCTAGGAGCCTTCCTGGAGCATCCCCACCGCGCCCCCACCCCCAGCTCCCAATGTGCTATCTTGGATTCAATTCTCATGACACTGGTTTGTCATGCCCGTTTATAGTTCTGTCTCCCCCACCACCAGGGAGTGCCATGGAGGCTGCCCCAAGCAACGCCTGGCACTAAATCGGCCTCTATAAGTATTGTGATTTAGAAGTAAGAGAAACGTGGCTGCACAATCATGTGAATATACTTAACAGTACTGAACTGTATGCTGCAAATGGTTAACACAGAAGTATTGTTGGGGGGCCTGGCTGGCTCAGTGGATAAAGCATCCAACTCTTGATCTCAGGGTCATGAGATTGAGCCCCATGCTGGGTGTAGAGCCTACTTCCAAAAAAAAAAAAAAAAAAGATAGAAATATCGTTATGTAAGGGCACCTGGGTGGCTCAGTTGGTTAAGCATCCGACTTCGGCTCAGGTCATGATCTCATCGTTCATGAGTTCAAGCCCCACATGAGGCTCCGTGCTGACCACTCAGAGCCTGGAGCCTGCTTTGGATTCTGTGTCTCCCTCCCTCTTTGCCCCTCCCCCACTCGCTCATGTGCCCTCTCTCTCTCAAATAAACAGGAAAAAAAAAGAAAAGAAATACTGTACTGTGTATTTTTTTTAATATACGATGGTTTTTTAAATGAAAGGAAAGAGTCTAACCGCGCTGAGAGAGCACTTAGCACCTACCAGATGACAAAACTCAAAGCATCTGTTAACACACAACGTGTGCAACGCTGTGGGTAAATGGGCACCCCCTCTGCGGAGGCCATTCTGACGGTGGATTACCAGGATGACAAATACACAGACGGTTCCACCCAGAAATTCTACTTCTAGAATTTTATCCTATAGATATGCTGGCCCATGAGCAAACTAATTGAAGTTCAAGATTATTAACTGCGGTACATTTACAACAGCAAAAGACTGGAAGCAACCCAAGTGTCCACAAGCAGGGGATTCGCTCTGTCAAGGATGACACCATTTCATATGATGAAATAGTATGCAGCCAGGACAAAGAAAGAAGCCTCTGTACTTGCACTTGTAGAGCCATCTTCCCGATCTCAGGTTAACTTAAGAAAGTAAGGTGCACAGCAGCACGTAGGGGATGGGGGGAAAAGAGTTCATATATGTTTGTTTCTCTGTGCATAACTTATCTCTGGAAGGCTCCCCAAGAAAGGGGTAACTACACCGACCTCTGAGGTTGCTGCAAGGTTGGGTAGGGCAGGTATAGGAAAGACTTACTTTCCATCTTTTTGTACCTGTGTGCATATGTTGACTATTCAAAGGTATACGTTAAAATAATATCTATTTAAAGGCAACCATCCAGGATCAGAGAGGAAGCAGGACTCAGGGAGGCCCTGTCCAGGACTAGAGCTGGTGGGTTTGGCAGGAGGCAGATCTGGGTCTGCGTGAGAGGAGAGCCAAGCTGGACCAGAAGCCAGCTGCCGCCCCCCCACCCCCTCCCCCCCGCCCCTTCTCCCTCCCCCCNCCCCCCCCCCCCCCCCCCCCCGCCACTGCTTTCTCACAGCTTAGCTCAGGCCCAGCAGTGCAGGTACGGAAAGCCTTACTGGAGGGAGATGGAGATGAAGCCGGGCTCAAGCAAACCGCAGGAGAAATGGCAGACAGCACTGAACCCTGGCATTTCACAGGTGGAAAGGTTTTCATCCATCCATGTAGCCAATAGATATTTATTGAACACCAATTGTATACTCTGGTGACAACTGTGACCAAGACCAGTGATCTCTAGCTTCACGGCTTTGTGGGGAAGATGGACAAATAGACAATTCCCGTGCAGTGAGATTGATGCGGTGACCGGAGATGGTCAAAGGCCATGAGAGTTCCCTTCCCGGGGGGAGTGTGGTCTCAGCTGAGACCCGGGAGATAGGAGATGTCAGCCAGTTCAAGTATGAGGGCAAGCGTGTCCTAGGCGTAGGTGTGTGCAAAGGCTGGCATGTGCCGAGGGAGGGAGGGGGGTCCTGGCAAGAGCTGAGGTGGGTAGGTGGACAGGGCTGGGCAACAGTCTTGCAGGTCAGGTTAAGAAGTTCATAATTCACTAGGCACCACGGGAAGCCATTGGAGGGTTTTAAGGAGTCGATCCGAGTATTCTGGTTTGTTCTCCCTGAGGGAAGGGTGAACGGAGAGAAGGCAACCATCTACAGGCTGTTGAACCACCAGAGGAGGCATGGGGTTGACTTGAAAGAGTGGGCAGCAGCGGAGGGGGAGAGAAGTGGGTGGATTTGAGATTTATGGTGGAAAATTGAGCCAACAGGTCCTGATGATGGCTTTGTCAGGAGAGAGCAAGGGAGGGTTTGAGATGACTCCTGGGTGGTTTGTGCGGAGCAGAGCATCTAGAGGAACAGCGACACCATTTGCAGCGATGGAAAGCAGGAGCCACTTTGCGATAGGGGAACCAAGAGCTGCATTTGGGATCTAGTGAGTTTGAGATGGTTTTGGACATACACAGACACGAAGCAGGAAGTTGGATAGAGGAGTCTGGAGCTCAGAGGAGAGGACTAGGCTGGAAATATACATTTGTGAGTCACCAGCATATATAGATGGTATTTAAAGCCATGAGACTGAATGAGATCACCTAGGGAGAGAGAATATAGACAGCAAGGAGAAGGTCCAAGGCTGAGCTGGCGAGAGAAGGAGGAACCCTGAAAATCGGGGAGCGTGGCTCCCCTGCTAGGAGGCAGGCACCGCCACACTCTGCTGAGACAGAATGAACAGAGGACGTAGCCTTTAGATTTGGCAAGTTAAGGGGTCATTGGTAGACTTGGCAAAAGTAGCCTCAGTGGAGTGGTGGGGGCCAAGCCAGGTTAGAAGGGGTTGAAGAACACATTAAAGGTGAAGGAGCAGAGACAGCGAGTGTAGACAGCCTCTAGGGGTTGTCTGTCTATACTCTGATGATGTGCATCCCAAGAGTTCTTGTCCCTGTTATCCCTGAGGGCAGAGACCGTGCCCTGATGATTTCTATCAGAGCCGTAAATGGAGCCCAGCACACAGCAGGAGCTCAATGCATTTACCTAATGATTGGATGAATAAATGAATGGATAATTCAATGCTTGTGTCTAAAGAGCCTTTCCCGGTAGAGGACAGCTGTATTTTTGGGAGGGCAATTGAAAAAACTGTAAGATACACTCCAAAGGCCAAAGGCTCTGGACCCCTTCTCCCAGCTAAACCGGGGTAGGGGACTGGGGAGCAGCTGCACACAGGCCTAGGGTGGGAACCCTGCCCCCTCCCCCAGCCATCCCCCTGCTCTCTGCAGCCCCGGTGACTTTGGGTAAGTCACTCCCTCTTTCTTAGAAGGGAGAAATGTAGGGGAAAGAGTCCACAGGAGGTCCCTTAGGTGGTTAGTCTGCCTCCTTTCCCCCCATTTTCTTCTCTCTGGGCTTTATGGCTTAGGGAATAGAAGCTGAGCAGGGCAAGGACCTCCCAAGGAGACCCGGTGGATAGACCCTGAGGGCAAGAAACATGAGGCATGGGGATCCAGTGGAGGGGGGCGCCTCCATTGTAGGGCGGAGCACCTCCCAACCCGCCACAGACCCATGCCTGGTGTGGGGGGAAGTCACGGAACTGCGACTGGCTGTAGGACAGACAATTGTGTAGTCCAACCGAGGAGACCCTGAAGTGTCCTTGGGCTTGGGTGGGGCGGGACTCATCTGTGACGGACAGGCCCACCTGCCAATCCGATGGAAGCTGACTCTTCGAGGCTGAGAGGGGCCTGCAGGACGGAAAGTGGCTGTTGGGAAGTGACAAATAGAGAAAAGCAGGGACTGGAAATGGGAAATGGGAGGCCCCTTGGGGGAGCCCACCCAGAGAGGAACCTGCGAGGGCTCTGTGGGTGACCAAGAGACCTGCGTCGAATGGGCGGGGGGCTTCCTCTGACAACCCCCCGCGACTGCCATTCCCGCAGCAGTACCTTTTCCTGCAGCACCTGCGGGAAGAGGCGGGAGGAGGGCTTAGAACGGCTGGAGCCGGGCCTTCCCGGGTGGGAGGGAAACAGGCAAGCGTGGACACTGCTGCCACCTAGTGGAACAAGCCTGTTATTTCTCTTGGCTGCCAGCCCCAGGATCTTCACCACTAAGAAACCCCTAGGCCCTTGAATTTGGAGACACAAGGCAAACGGGAGCCTCTGAGAGAAGGATGCACACCCCTGGGAAGTGTGCGTTGCCCACATTACTTTCTTTGCCCCACTTTGCCCCGGTTCCCTTTTCTGTGTAATGCAGGCAGGCTTGCTGCAATGGGCAAATGAGTCGTCTATGTAAAGTAGTGGATCCAGGGGCAACTGGAGATGTTTATCCCTGCCCTCCCTCCAGGAAAAACTGCCTGCTGCAGCTCTCCTTAGTCCCAGCCTCCCGCAAGAGTGCTCCGAGTCCCTCCTATTGCTAAATTCTGGGGCTGCCCCTGTTACTGTTTTATCATCAGCATCACCCCCAAGAATGAAGGCTCTGGGGGAGAAGGGTCTCAAACTGTCCTCTTCTGATTTGGGGGCTTGGAAGGGGAGGGTCCCAGCTCCCAGCACTTTCTCCCCTCAGCCCAGAGTTTGTGATCAGAATGGCTCCAAGCTGTGACATCACAGAGCCCCCACCCCGTCACAGGAGGGGAGGAGTCATGAGGCTGTGGCCGTGGGTGTGGGTGTGGGAATGGCTGCTGGGGCTGGGGGCCATAGAAACAGGTGGGAAGCTGTCCTAGGAGCAGTGGGAAGGAGGAAGTCTTGGGGGTAAAGGGCCACATTTCTCTCTCATCCTCTCCATCCAGCATGGGCCTTCTCATGGAGAGTTCAGTCGATCCTTGAGAAGTTCCTGGAACAAAATCAGCCCCTCTGTAGCCACGCTAAGGCTGTGTGGCCTCACAGGGTCCTGGGTCGGCTTCAGCTTCTTGGGGTGGAGGGCACGGGTCTGCTTGATTCTTGATGTAAGCTTTGCTCCCTAGCACCCAGCCCAGAGAGGGCCAATACCTTGGCCCGGGGAGCAGAGTCTGTGGTCTTCATAGACAGACCTGACTTCTTTGATTACCCAGACTCAGACCAAGCCAGGCTCCTGGCCGTGGCCCAGTTTATTGGAGAGAAACCTGTCCTCTTTGTTAACTCAGGTATGAACCAGCGTGAGAAGGCAGCCTTCCTTGCCAGGGTCTGGAGAAGAGCTGCCCTTGACCCTTCAGCTGGAGAGTCCAGGGTCCCCATCTCCTCCTTCTTGTCTAACAGGATCCAACTCTGACTTCTTCCATCACATCCTGCTGGGTGCTCTGGTAGTGGCCTTCCTCTTCCTGCTTTTCCAGTTCTGCACACACATGTAAGCGCTCCCCCCACAGCCCCCTGGCCCCGCCCCCCTCAGCCTTCCCTGGGAGAGGCTGAAGGACCCCAAAGCCCAGGGAGGCAGGGCGTGGCCTCCCACTTCTGATCTCATATCCCACAGGAGCTTCCAAAAAGGGGCCTAAAGAGCTGGACAAGGACCTTGGACTCGGCCCTGAGTGCCCAAACCTGCCCTCCTTTCCTGCTGATGAATAAAAGTCTGCTTTTTTCTTCCCTGATTGCTCGGTAACCATCCAGGGAGTCCTGCCCCGTCCTGTGGTCATCTGTGCTTTCTGTCCCCAGCCCCCACCCTTCCCAGCACCAAAGAACTGGGTGAAGAGGGCCTTGGTGGCGTTCACGCAGATCGTCTTTATTAGCGGTCTGTAAAGCACCTCCCGGGGTCCCCTGACCCCAGACTGGAGGAAGCCTTGAGAGGTCTGTAGCACCAGGGACATGCCAGGGCCCGAGGGCAAGATGTGCAGCCTAATGGGGAAGGGACTGGGTGCCCCCTCGCCCGCCCCCGGGGTTGCTCAGCACTGGGAAGGTTGGGGGGTAGCAGCCACCTCCCTCCCCCACCCCTACAAACTAGTATGAATTTGGGCAAATAAATAAAATAAATAAGATTCCTCAGGCTGGCCTTCCCTAGGGAGGAGAAGTAGAGGCAGCTAGCCCCAAGCGAGGCCTGGGGGGCCGGGGGGGATCGGTGGGGTGTCCCCTCCCTCCCAGATGGTGGGGAACCGAGAGGAGTCTGCAGCAAGGGGGGGCTGGGATGGCCTTGGCAGCAGGGCCTCCCCCACATTCTCCGAGTCCTGGTCCCCTTGAGTCAGTCTTCCCACAGCCCCCTAGCCCTCAGTGGATAGGAAGTGATGCCCCCTTCCTCCTGTCCTTTGCTCCAGGGTTGGTGATGGGAGAAGGGGGGTGCGCAGGAAGGGGTTTGCTACCTTCAGCTCAGGCACTGCTAGGAGAAGAGGCTCCTTCTCCCTGCCTTTCTTTTCACCTGGTCCCTGCCCCTCTGCCCCTGAGGGGAGATGTCCCGCCTGCCTCTTCACTCCTTCGGAGTCCATCTGTCAGTCCTGGGGCTGTCAGGGCCAGAGATCCCTGGCTCCCACCCCCTGCCCAGCAGCCCCAGAGCCCTGTCCCCAAGGGATGAGGTGGGGAGGGTCCCCTGGCCCCACCCTCAGTCCTGGGTCTGACAAGGAGAGGGAGGAGGGGAGCCCCGGGGCCTGAAGAGGCGGCAGGCCCCTCGGCAGATGAGGAAGAACCAGTAGAGCTGGGGGGCCAGCAGCAGCGCGGCGCCCAGGTTGACGTGGGCCGGGATGGCGAGGGGCACGGCGAGCAGCGGCAGGCCGGCGTGCCGCCCGTAGGCCCAGTACAGGTAGGGGAAGAGCAGCACCCGGCAGCAGAGGAAGCTGATCAGCATCAGGGCCCCGTTCACCTTGTGCAGCAGAGTGTGCTGCTGCTTGTACTGCAGGCGGGCAGGGGGCAGAGTGAGGGGGGGGGCCAACCTTGGCCCGCTTCCCCTACTCAGCCCCCTGGACCCTGCCTTCCCTGACCCCAGCCTGTAGCCCCTCCCAGGCTCACCCCCCACCCATGGGGCTCATGCACCCTCAGGCACTCTCTCACCTGGATGAGGATCTTGCCAAGGCAGACGAAGGGGGTGCTGACCTCAGCCATCAGCAGGCAGCCTAGAAAGAAATCTCCCTTGCCCTGGCGCCACACCTGTGAGGAGAGGAAGGAAATAGCTTGGCCTCACCCTGGACTCCCTCTCTCTTCTCTTGGCTACTTTCGGAGATGCTTAACCCTGAAAGTCTGAACACGTGTGTACAGCAGGAAAGCTGCGAGCATCACTCACTGTATCCCTCCAACCGTCATACTGCAGGTGGATTGCACACCTTATATTACAGATGAGGAAACTGAGGCTCAGGGACATGCAACACAGCTCCCAAGCACCATGGCTGGGCACGTCCAGCCCACTCCAGGCTGACCCCACACCCTCACGCTGTTTGGGGCCAGTCTGGTGCTCAGCAAACCCTCTGTGGAGACTCTCCTGGACCTGCTCTGCTACTGAGACCTGGCCACAGGGCTCCCCGGGCTCCCACTGGCATAAGCAGGACAGGGGACCCTGGCTTTCTGCACCCCGACTCACCACCGACAGCGGGAAGCATACGAGCACCATGACAGCATGGTGGAGCACCATGAGGAACTCCTTGTGCAGGTAGCCGCGCGCCACGGCCCAGGTGCTGCCCGGGGCTCTGGCCCCCCCTTCGTCCCCTCCGTGCCCCTTGACCTGGTGCTTGTGCCAGTGACAGAGGAACATGGCGTAGATGTCATAGATGAAGTAGGGCACTGCAAATTGGGTGTAGGCAGAGGAAAGCCAGTGTCTGTTGGGCAGAGAGAGAGAGAAAGAGAGAGAAATCAAAGAGGAAAGGAGATGGACAGAGCAGCACCAGGTGCCAGAGTCAGCACTGGACTTGCCACATGAGTCAGATCTCAAGCGATATTCACAACAACCGTGAGGCGAAAGTGGGCTCTCAAGTTACATGATGGAACCCAAGAGTAGAGGGCAAGAAAGTGGCCCAAGGTCACCGTCACACTGCTGGTAGGTAATGGCGATTCAAACCCAGACTGTTTGATCTCAAACCGCACCCATTGTTCATATTCATTCGTTCACCCATTAATGCATTCATATTCTCTCTCTCTGCAATATGGTGGGCAAGGCAAGGAAAAAGATACCAAAAGACAGCCACATACCAGAGGGCAGTGTTAGAGTGAGAAAGCAAGCACAGGCAAGACATGAGAGACAGCTGAGGTTAGGACAAATAACAGCAGAAGAGGCAAGAACAGTGGAGAGGGATCATATTGGCTGACATCCATTGACTGCTTATTACAAGCAGGCACTGTTCTAATATCCAAAGCCTTTTACATACATAAACTTACTCGCTCCCCCACGAAAACTTCATACAAAGTAGGTATGGTTATCACCCCATTTTACAGATGAGGAAACTGAGAGACTAGGTAACTTGGCCAAGGAATAACCATGAGAAGTCTGGCTCCACAGCCTTCACCTAGAGCCCCCACTGTCTCTAGAAGATTCAAGACAGGTCTCCAGACAAGCCTTTGCTGGGGATCTGGTGGTGCTTTCAGGGCTGGTTGTTCTGCCTGAATGTGGTCCAACCTCTTGTTTTTTCAGGTACACCCAAGCATTAAGGAGAAAATGCTGAGCAAAAGGAGCCAAGGGCAGAGAAAGTTCTGTGTACTTAAAGAGTAAACAAAAATGAAAAGTGCATGAATATGCAACATTGCATGTTTTCTCTTGACTCAGCATGTTGGACACTTTCTCTTCAGTCCTGTAGTCCTGTGGCAGCTCTGAGGTAGGAGCAGGAGATCAGGGAGGTAGGGCCCAGGGAACTTGCCCAGCAAGGCGAAGGGCCGAAAGCAAAGTCAGCCAGAGTGACGCAGAAAGAGAGCAGAGACAAAATGAGGAGCTGCTGAAGGGAGAAGAGGAATGAGAGGCCTGGGGGCGCAGAGCAGCGAAGGACAGGATGAGATGGAAACAGAAAACAGGATGCAAGCCCTGGGCAAGACTAGCCTGGAAGGGGACAGGCAGCCCATTCTAACAGGGATGATTTTGGGGAAAAGAGAACCTGAGACCCATGCTGGGGCATGTGACCAGGAAAGGGAGAGAGGGGAGAGGGCAGCAAAGGGGGGAGAGCCCTGGTCGGAAGGGGTCCGACTGGCCCAGAAGAAGTTACAGAGGGAGTGGCTGGGAGAGCTGGCCCCAGGACCGGAGTGGCTTGTGGGGAGGGAGGGCCAGGGCCAGAGCTGCAACTTGAAGAGTTAAACCCATCCGACCCTCTCAGCAGTTAGGTGCTCAGAAGTAGGAACAGCTGTTGTCCCTGGATTAACCCTGATCTTGGACACCCACCTGAGGATTAAAGGGGGAGGGATGAGAACAGACCGGGGTTGGGGGAAGGAAATGTGAGAGCAGAAAGGTGACCTCTGTGTGAGAAGGCGAGAGCAGGAAATGCCTGGGAATCCAGGCTCATCTGAGACCCAGGGGCGGGGAAGAAGAGGCGAGGGGAAGAGGAAGCCAAGTTACCAGGATCTGAAGGAAGAGTTAAGCACCCACTGTGTGACAGCCAGCACTGCTCTAGGCATTTGACACACAGCTCAATTCCTCCTCATGGCAGCCCTTCCAGGAAGGGATGTACCTCACCCCACAGATAAGGGAACTCATCTGTAGAGAAAGAGGGGCGCGCCAGGTCAGGGTCATCCAGACAGTGTTCCCGTGGCCCCAGAGTCATCAGAGAAAGGGGGTCAGGCCCAGAAGTTAGGTGTGGGGTGTCTTCAGCACCCTCACGGGCAATTCTGCAGCAGCCTGTGGGTCACCAGGAGCCGGCCCGTCAGCACCACGGACAGGGCCCCTCTCCTTCCTCCGGCAGCCCCACCTCCTGAGGCCTGGGCTTTTTTGGCAAGCACCGGGCACTGCAGTAGCTGCCAGTGCCAAATTTTGGCCTCTTCACCTTTCCCCTCCCCCTCCCCCACTGCCCAACCATTAGTGGCCTTGTCTCTGTCAGCTGTCTCCTCTGTCTCCCTCTTGTACACGGAGCTGGGACTGGACACCTGGATTCTGGGAGGAGGTGAGGGGTGAGCTTGGCATGAGGAGGAAGGCACCCCATGTGGCTGCTGGCTAGAAAAGGGGCTTGAGGGACATAAGGGTGGGAAGAAGTCGGGAGGAAAGGACACACGGGACCTACTACACGATATGAGAGGCCGGGAAGCCTAGGAGCCGCTTTAACAATCCTTTCTGATCCCCACCCCTTTTCCTCCTAGTTCTGACCTTTAAGGACAGGACATGGATAAATTTATCCCTGGGTGTTGAGTTGCAGCTAATGCAGTGAACTTGCTCAGTCCCAAGTGAAGGGCTTGGGGACCACTGAATGAGTCCCCTGGAAGACCCGGGGTACTCGGGAGTCACACGCACACAGACTGCTGGAACTTGGGCAAAGGTGGTCTCATGGCACTTACTGGTCATCAATGATGTGCTTGCAGGAGGTGGAGACGATGTAGCCAGCTGTGGAGGCCATGACGGCTTGGACAGAGGACACTAGCCTAGGGCGAAAGAGGGAGCAGTGGTAGACAAAGGAGACACAGAACTCAGTTTCTCCTCTTTACTGTCCCGTTACTGCGCTTCGGACTCAGTCACATCTCGGGCCACTCTCTGTCCATCTTTGCCTGAGGCTGGCTTGCCCAGGGCTCCCCCCAGCCTCAGGCTACAGGACTTGCCCAGCTGCTACTCCTCAGAACACCCAACTCTTCGCTGCCGTCTTCCTTCCCTCCGTTGTAGACACTGAGATGCCCTCCTCTCATGACCAGGGAGGTCATCTTGAGGTGAGACAGTGCTGATAACAGGGTCTCTTCCCAGGGAGGGGCAGGAAAGGGGCAGCACTGGATGGCAAGGGGGGTCCTAGGCCTGTTTTGCAGCATTCAGCCACCCAGTCATCATACCACTCATCGTCTGGTCCCTCAGAGACACCAAGTTCCCCCTGGCCACTTTCCCACTCACTCTTCAACTGTCCCCCATACTCCCCTCCTCAACTCTGGCTCTTATTCTGGGGTTGTACAGAGTTCTACCATTCACTCCTCAGTCCTCTGTCCCCTCAAACATATGCTCTGAACAATACACAGCTCTCTGCCCCTTGCCTGGTTCCCTAATCTCTTATAGGAATGTTTCAGTCACATGCCGGCCCTGTTTTGGAGGGTGGGAGGGTGAATGGGGGAAAGGAAGGAAAAGCAGTCTGGATACTAGTAGACCAGATGGCTGGGTTTGGACGAGGTCTCCTGGGACTACGTAAGGCAGTGAGGGAGGAAGGAAGCTTGGAGATAAAGCCCACCAATCACTTCAGGAACCCCCAATCCTCAATGGGCCAAGGGTCCAGGGAAGGATGGGGTACCTTCCACCCCCATTATGCCTGAGAAGGGGAGAAGGGCTGAGGGGAAGGGAGGCAGTTTACCTGGCTGAGACAATGACCGCGTCGGCCTCCTCCCAGCGCAGCTGGGGCAGCCGCTGGAGCGTGTTCTTGGAGAGGAGGAAGAGACCAGGGAACACCACCCCCCCAGCCACCATCGGGGTCAGCATGGTGGCTCAGGCCTCAGGCAGGGAGGCGAGTGGCCTTGAGGGGGCAGGGAGGCCGGGCTGAAGGGAGTTCGAGGTGGAGAAGGGACACCAAGCCGGGGAAGGAGAAAGAAAAAGAAAAAGGGGCACAAAGGGGACAGGGCGGGGACGGGATGGGGCAGGAGAGTAAGACCAGAGGAAGGGAGAAAGGGAGTTCGATGAGACTGGGGAAATGGGGAGAGGCCCGGGAGAGGGAGGATCCGGGGAAGGGAGCGGGAGGAAGCTGGCCAGAGGGCTGGAAGCGATTCGGGAGGAGAGGACTTGGTCAGAGGACAGAGAGGAAAAGGGTACCGGAGGAGGAGGAGGATGCGAGTGGGGGAGGGGAGGGAGAGAAGAGGCAGGTGGGGAGGGGGGCCTTACGTGGAGAGGCTGGGAGGACCCGAGAAGGCGGGGTGGGACTGTGGTGCCAGCCCTGAGAGGGAGGGAGAGACGGAGGGAGGGAGGTGGGAGGGAGGGAGGGAGGGAGACGGAGGAGCGGCGGGGCAAGTGGTCAGCGGTCAGCACTGCTCTCCCGCCTCTCGCTGCTGCCCCGGTCCCCGCTGCCCGGCCCGGAGGCGGCACGGGGCATTATAGACAGTTTGTGCCCAGCCCCCTGCCCCCTCGGAAGGGAGGGGGAGGGGGAGGGGGAGTCACCAGCTTGGGGAGGGCGGGGGAGGGGTGGGGAATGATGGCACCGACCAGACACCAAGAAACCGGACCTGCGGCAGCGTCTCCCCATGCAGCTCTGAGCCACAGCAGCGGCTGCGACAGAGATGGGGGGAGCAGAGAAAGAGGGAGGGGGAGGCCCTTAAAGAGACAGCAACTGCAGCACAGGGGGCCGCTGGGGACAAGGGCCAGGGGAGGGTAGGCTCTCCTCTTGGGGAGGAAGGTGGCCTCGGGCTCCCTGACCAGCTGGGAGGGGGCTCTGAACCCTCAGCTGGGGGCTTGATTCTGTTTCCCACCAGTATATTGCAAATGCCTACCATTTCTTCCGCTGCCAATGCCTCCCAACACTTGTCCCTCAGTGGCCTGCTAGGGTCCCAGTTTAGGGATGTCCCTCCAGCAGAGAGAAAAAGGATTCCCTGGAGGGAGTAAGACAAAATGGTGCATCTTGCTGTCTCTGAAGGGTGAGTTTAAGGACTGCATGGGAATAAAAACACCTCAACACAGCATCTTTCGGGCTCTGAGACCCACCCCCCCATCCTTCATTCCAATGGGAAGGAAGACAATTCTAGGTATACAGGAGGTGTCTCTGGGTCCCGACCCTGCTGCAAGACCGCCCTTTGATCTTGTCTAACTATTGTAATAGCACAGAGGTGACAGCACTTGTCCCCTTTTTACAGGTCAAGAAATGGTCCTGAAGCCTTCAGCGGCCCTCCCCAAGGCCCTGTAGCTAAGAAGAGGCAGGAACCTGCTCAGGCTGTGTGTCAGAGTGGCTGCAGGCTGCAGGTGGGGAAGGCCTGCCTCTCTGAAAACCCTCCTGGGACGCAAGGACTCCCTGTCCCTGGCCTTCAGGCTGCTTGGCCTCTCCTGGCCTCCCCTAAGCATTGGCAGCTTTTCTTTTTTCATCAGGTTTATTATCTTCCTGGCTCGCCTTCCTCTGCGACTTCACAGAACAGCCCAGTTTCCCAGTGGAAAAGGACCTCAAGGATTAGGCGGTTCGAGCCCCTCATTCAAGCACAAGGAAATCAAGGCCCAGGGATTTGGCTGGAACCCCACTGGCGCTGAGTGGCTTCTCACCCTTTCGTGCTGCCTTCCTGGAAGTTGGCCTTCCTGGCCTGAACCCAACTGTCCTATGGACTTCTGCGTGATGTGGGGCCTGTACCCACACCTTTACAGGCCTGCCCTAAGGTACACCTCAAGAAGCAACCCTGAATTTGCCTGTGCTTGTCCTCAGACCATTCCATTTCCTCCCCAGAAGAGAGGCAAAGGGCTGGATTTGCAATTTTGTGCTGCCCTCTAGTGGCACGAGGAAGGAACGGACCCTGAGAGGTCTCTGGCCTTAGGCAGAAGTTAGGGACAATTTAGAAACAATAGTGGACCCAGCTTCCTGACCTCAGGGTTTCACTTAAGGGTAAAAAGACCCAACCTCTCTTTTTTTTGTTTAAGTTTATTTATCTATCTTGAGAGAGAGAGAGAAAGGGGGAGGGTGGGCAGAGAGAGGGGAAGAGATTCCCAAGCAGGCTCAGCGCTATCAGCGCAGAGTCCGATGTGGGGCTCTGATCCCACGAACTGTGAGATCATGACCTGAGCTGAAATCAAGGGTCAGAGGCTTAAGCAACCAAGCCACCCAGGCGCCCCAGGACTCAACTCCTTGAGTGTTTACTGTGTGCCGGGCACGGGGCAAGGTGATTTATGTTCATTCTTATTTAATCTTCTAAGATGGTAATATCTGTTTTATAGACAAGAAACAGGTTTAGAGATTTAAGAAACAAATGACAAAAAAAAAAAAAACAAAAAAAACTTGCCCAAGGTAACACAGCTATTAAAACTGGCAAAACTTGGGGCGCCTGGGTGGCTTAGTCGGTTAAGCGTCCGACTTTCGCTTAGGTCAGGATCTCGCGGTTCGTGGGTTCGAGCCCCGCGTCGGGCTCTGTGCTGACTGCCAGCTCAGAGCCTGGAGCCTGTTTCAGAGTCTGTGACTCCCTCTCTCTCTGACCCTCCCCTGCTCACGCTGTCTCTCTCGCGCGCGCGCACTCCTAGAAATAAATAAAACATTAAAAAAATTTAAAAAAAAACTGGCAAAACTGGATCGCTGCAAAGCCAGAGTAAAGCCACTGAGGCGGGGGGGGGGGCGCGGGGGGGGGAAGGGCACCATAACTACTGGACTGAGGACTGCAAACTTGGCCAAGTTGTGGCTTCTCTCTGGGTGCCGTGAATTACAGCTGCAGAGACACTCTTCTGTCCTCCAGGAATTCATCTAGACACCCAGGTAAATTCTGCCTTCTGCCCACTCTCTCTCCTACCTCAGTTTCCATGATAGGTCACATGTATATTAAGTGTGTCAAACAGGTCATAAATTTGCAATGTAAGGGCCCCCATCCAGCCCACAGACATGCTTTGTTCAGCTAGTATAATGACGTCAGTATAGAATTTTCTGAAATTCCAAGTTATTTATCAGTGTTTGAAAATTAGGAGGTTTCCCACCAAAGCTCAGCTTCCTTTAAGAAAGAATCTGAAGGTCAGACAACATGGAGCCCATGTTCTAACTCCATAATGTTTGGCTAGAGCTGAGCAGCTGCTGCCCATTTGATGAGCTGAGCATTGAGTCCTCCAAGCTCACTAGTCCTCATGGAGCCTACGGCCTTCATGGTTACTTGCAGGAGTCCGCAGCCCCTGCTTTATAGACACGAACTCAACTGACCCAACTCACCCAACATCTCCATGAAGACTGGATGATGGGTGTTCTTAGTAAGCCCATTTACAAGTGACGGTTCTGAAGTTCAGAGAGGTGAAATGACTTGCAAAAGATCCCAGAGCCAGTTTCTTTTGACTCTTCAGGTCCCCCTGGCATGCGTGTGCGTGCGTGAGCGCGCGCGCACATACACGCGCGCGCACGCACACACACACACTTGGCTTCTGCTCTCACCACTAACTCTTCCTGAAAGCAGGGGATCAGCTCCACCAGCCCTGGCCCCAGGAAGGATGCCCTCACTCTGTCCTCTTACTTGGATGCCACCAAAACAGCCTCTGGTCTCTCCATCCGCAGGTTGGAGTGGTTCTGGAGGCCCCAGCAGATGACAGTGAAGCTCAATGGGAAGAAAATGCAACCCAGTACAAAGAGCAGGGGCATGCCTGGGGGGGCAGAGAAGGTGAGAAAAGGTGAGCGTGAGAATCCCTCAGCCCCAGACACCCCTTTCACCCCAATAACTCAATGGCCCATGGGATCCATCCATCTGTAAGCATCAAAGGCCACCAGGCATTGCCCTTCCCTAATCTCTTTGGGACCTTTAATGCTCTTTAAATGTCCCTCATCCAGGACAATTGGACATCCTAATTTTTTTTTTATCAACCTGTTCCAACAATTTCATGCAGTTTCCCTGTGATCTTCGAAGCTGGTCTACACTTCCCAGTCCATCTCACACCTTAAAATTCCTTCTCTTCATCCTTCCACCCTAAGGATGTGCCTGCTTTTTCTTAACTCCACCCCATCCCATCTTTCGCCCCATCCCCAAGCTCTTCTGGTCACTTCTCCCCTCTCCTAGGTCCTCATCTCTGAGGGGCAAGGTGGAGGCTATGGAGGGAGGCTGGTGATTCTCATCAGCACCCAGAACTCAGAAAAAGGAAAGAGGGTGCTCAAATCGTAAAGATATTTGAATTTGAAAAGTAACGTTTTTTTAAAAAAAAAAAGAAAAAGGGAAAACCAAAGCATGATCCCATTAACAAAGAAAAAAATCAAGAAACAATAGAATCCCTGAAAACATACATATTTACATATATGTTATTTTTGTCTGGAAAAGCCTCCCCTCCTGTGCACTCCAGGAAGGGGAGGGGTGGGGAAAGCCCAGGGGGGGATGCAGGGAGTTGGGGCCCATCATCCTGCATCCCTTAGGCAGCAGTGAGGGGACCAGCTTTTAGGAGACAAGGAAGGTGTCAAATTGCAAGGGCACAAGGCTGAAGCAGCTCTGCTCTTGGGAAGCAGTTGAAGAGGGTGGGAACATCACCCTCCTATTGGTGGACTGGTGGGCGGTTTAGACCATGCTACCCTCCCATTGGCCCACCTCTTGACACATGTGTCCTATCATATGCTTGCTGGCAGAGGGTGGACAGTGGGGCCTTCTAACCAGAACTGACCACTTAGATTTGGGTGATGACTCAATGGACAGCTACGTTCTGGACAGAGCTGAGAGAGGAGTAAGGAAAGGGAGGGAGGGAGAAGATAAGAACACTCTAAGTAGTCTTGGCTTTAAATAAAAGGTAGTACAGTATAGGATAAAAGTTAAGATGGCATTTTCTAGGGTGGGACCATCTGGGCTCACATTCAGCCTCCGTGTATAATAAAAGAAACATACTGTATGGCTCCACTTGGATGAAATTCAAAACAGGCAGAATCTCTTCGGTGAAAAATCAGAACAATGCTTAACTTGGTGGGAGGTATTGACTGAGAGGGGACCCCAGTGAGTCTTCTGAGAGGTTGGGAATGCCCTTATGTTGATCACGAGTGCACACACAGGTAAACATGCCCAAGGCATAACCTTA